GTAGTAGCAGCAGCAGTAGTACTAGTAGTAGTAGTAGTAGTAGTAGTAGTAGTAGTAGTAGTAGTAGTAGTAGTAGTAGTAGTAGTAGTAGTAGTAGTAGTAGTAGTAGTAGTAGTAATAGTAGCAGTAGTAGTAGTAGTACTTACTACTACTACTACTAGTAGTAGTAGTAGTAGTAGTAGTAGTAGTAGTAGCAGTACTAACATTACTAGCACCAGCAGTAGTAGTAGTAGTAGTAGTAGTAGTAGTAGTAGAAGTAGTAGCAGTAGCAGTACGAATCGCAGTAGAGGTAGTAGTAATGGTAGTAGTAGCCGTAGAAACAGCAGTAGTAGTAGTAGTAGCAGTAGTAGTAGTAGCAGCAGTAGTACCAATAGTAATAGTGGTGGTGGTGGCAGTAGTAGTAGTAATGGTAGTGAAAAAAGCAATCATACAAATAGTGATAATGAAAATAACAGAAACAGTAGTAATACGGACAAGGGTAGCAACAGTAGTAGTAGTACCAGTGGTAGCACTAGCAGTAGTAGTAGTAGTAGTAGTAGTAGTAGCAGTAAACGTAATAGTAACAGTAGTAATCGCATTATCAATAATAGTAGTAATTCGAATGGAGGCAATAAGGGTATGAAAAGTAATGATACTAGTAGTAGTACTAGTAACAGCAAGAGTGGTAGTAATAAAACTAGAAGCCGTAGTCGTAGAAGTAGTCAGCATGGTAGTAGTAGTAACATAATTGTCGGCAGTAAGGATAGTCGTCGTCGTCGTAGTAGTAGTAGTAGTAGTAGTAGTAGTAGTAGTAGTAGTAGTAGTAGTAGTAGTAGTAGTGGTAGTGGTAGTGATAGTGGAGGCAGTAGTAGTAGTAGCAATAGCAGTAGCAGTAGTAGTAGTAGTGGTGGCACTAGTAGTAGTAGTAGTAGTAGTAGTAGTAGTAGTAGTAGTAGTAGTAGTAGTAGTAGTAGTAGTAGTAGTAGTAGTAGTAGTAGTAGTAGTAGTAGTAGTAGTAGTAGTAGTAGTAGTAGTAGTAGTAGTAGTAGTAGTAGTAGTAGTAGTAGTAGTCGTAGTAGTAGTAGTAGTACTACTAGTAGTACTACTACTACTACTACTATTACTATCACTTCTATTCCTATAGTAGTAGTAGTAGGAGTAGTAGTAGTAGTAGTAGTAGTAGTAGTAGTAGTAGTAGTAGTAGTGGTAGTGGTAGTAGTAGTAGTAGTAGTAGTAGTAGCAGTAGTAGTAGCAGCAGTAGTAGTAGTAGTAGTGGTAGTGGTAGTGGTAGTGGTAGTGGTAGTAGTAGCAGTAGTAGTAGCAGTGGCAATGGTAGTAGTCGCAAAAGTAGCGCAAGTAGCAGCTGCAGTAAAATTAGTTGTCCTCAGAACCAGTAAAGTACAAGGTAATGGTAGTACGCCGTATCAGGTAGTAGTGCGCAGCACTAGCTAGTAGTAGGGACTAGTGGTTACTAGCAGGAAATAGTAAATCGTACTAGGTAGTAGTATGTAGTGTGGCCGTCTCGAAGCAATGGTGGGCGTGTTCGGGGCGTCTTGGGGCCCTCCTGGCCTCCTCGAAAGCACTTGTGGCGTGTCGAGGCTCATTTGGGACGGGGTGGAGCTATCAGGGAGCCCTCGGAGCCGTCCAGGGCCCAAAGGGCCCACATGCTAGCATTTGGCACCAGCCTGCCCCCCCCCCCCACACACACACTGGCCTACAACGAGATATACATATATATATATATATGTACAAGCACCAATATATACATGTATGTGCAAGGCTACATCTATATATAATATATTATATATATAAATATATACATAAATATGTGTATATATATATATATACGAAATCAGTGAATGCGTTGTCGGATCCGCCTCCCGGGGACTCCCGTTGCCTCCCATGGCAGCCTCCCGTGGCATGGAAGCCGTCCCTATCCCTATCCCTCTTCAGAAGAGGGATAGTGATAGGGATAGGACTGGCAGGGATAGGGAGATCCCTCTTCGCAAGAGGGATAGGGATAAGGTGATCCCTGTATTATTACCCCTCTTCGGCAGAGGGATAAGAAGATCGAGGCATGGAGGGAATCCCTCCATCCCCTACTCTTAACTTCTGTCCCTTGTGTCCATATCCCTATACTCGTCTGCTCTGTGCCCAATCCAGACATCACAATCCCCATCTCGATCCCCATCCCCAAATCGGATATCCATGTCTCTTCATCTTCATCCGTAGCCTCAGGTCGCATGTCCCCCTTACAGGCGGATTTTGAACGAAAAGATCAAAATTAGCCTGGCAAAAGACCCAACCATATGCAATTGTGAGTACCGCAATTGTGAATATCTTCTTCGGTGGCGCTCTCTATGGGGGCACGAAACGCTGTACTGGGTGAGTGAAACGCAGGGAGCAAGGGCAGTGTTGGGTGGTGGCGGGCGCATGCGGGCGGTGCCACTGGGACCTTCCGTGGAGCTCCCTATGGGGCCACGAAACGTTGTACTGGGTGGGTGAAACGCAGGGAGCAAGGGCTGTGCTGGGTGGTGGCGGACGCATGCGTGCGGTGCCACTGGGACCTTCGGTGGAGCCCCCTTATGCGGCCACGAAGCGCTGTACTGCGCGGGCGAACCGAAGGGGGCAATGGCTGTACTGGGTGGTGGCGGACGCATGCGGGCGGTGCCACTGGGACCTTCGGTGGAACTCCCTATGGGGCCACGAAACGCTGTACTGGGTGGGCGAAACGCAAGGAGCAAAGACCGTGTTGGGTGGTGGCGGACGCATGCGGGCGGTGCCACTGGGACCTTCCGTGGAGCTCCCTATGGGCCACGAAACGCTGTACTGGGTGGGTGGAACGCAGGGAACAAGGGCTGTGCTGGCAGACGCATGCGGGCGGTGCCACTCGGACCTTCGGTGGAGCTCCCTATGGGGCCACGAAGCGCTGTACCGGGTGGGCGAAACGCAAGGAGAAGGGCTGTGTTGGGTGGTGGTGGACGCATGCGGGCGGTGCCACTCGGACCTTCGGTGGCGCCCCCTTATGGGGTCACGAAACGCTGTACTGGGTGGGTGAAACGCATGGAGCAAGGGCTGTGCTGGGTGGTGGCGGACGCATGCGGGCGGTGCCACTGGGACCTTCGGTGGAGCCCCCTTATGGTGCCACGAAACGCTGTACTGGGTGGGTGAAACGCAGTGAGCAAGGGCTGTGCTGGGTGGTGGCGGACGCATGCGGGCGGTGCCAGTGGGGGCTTCGGTGGAGCTCCCTATGCGGCCACGAAACGCTGTGCTGGGTGGGTGAAACGCATGGAAGAGGGAGGAGGGAGGAGGAGGGGGGGGAGGAGGAGAGGAGAAGAGAAACGCGGGGACCGTCTCTTCAAAACGAGGACCCGACACCACAGGATGGTTGGGAAATACCCGAACAAAAAGATTCAAATACAGTCAAGAATACTCGAAACATCGTCCCCAGACTTGTTTTTTACCACTTTTGAATGCTCCTCAGGGACATGCCCGACGCAACCCTAGCCCGCAGCCTCCCCACCCCCAACCCCTACCCATATCCCGATCCCCACGCCGTGGCCCCACGCCGGGCCCCCGCGTCTCCCTGTCGTGGCCACCCGTCGTGGACCCCTCATCGCGCCCCCCACCGCAGCTGTGTAAAACTGAGTACAGTCGAGGCGTTGACCTAAGGAACCCTAAATAAGGAACGAGGCCCCTTTTTCCCATAAGTTCAACCTCGATTTCCTATGGAAAACCTCAGGAAGACCCGAGGCAAACTTTGAAACAATCAAGGAACACCGAGTCCCTCCCCAACAAAAAGGGTTCCTTCTTCAGCGCCCCGACTGTATGGCTTTCTACCGTCGGGGGCGGCCAAAAGGAGGAAGTCCAAGAAGGGGGGGGCGCATATCATGGCGGGCGGCATGTGCGCGGCCCTGGGGGGGGCCAGGGACGGATGGAAATAAGAAGAGTCGCCATGAAATCTGGGGAGATATAATGCCCCCCGCCACGATATCCACCCCGCCTGGTCATCACCCCCCTCTTTGCCGCCCCCGATACCGCAAAAGCGACTCACTTACACCAATAGTTCCCCGAAATAAGCCTGCCTCAGAGGCTCGTACTCGGCTAACACTTGGTGCCTCGGGAGGTCAATAACTTTGCCCGTAGCTGGGACGTTGCCCGTTTCTCGGAGGTTCCTCGGGTTCCCCAGGTTCCCCGGGCTCTCCGGGTTCATCGGGTTCCACGGGTTCCCTGGGTTCCCCGGGTTCCCCGGGTTCTTCGGGTTCTCGAGTTTCCCAGGTTCCACGGGTTCCCCGGGTTCCCCAGGTTCCCTGGGTTCCTCTGATTCCCTGGGCTCCCAGGGTTCCCCGCCCCCTATGCCTCGTATTTTTACGGTGCCCGTCCCAGGCAATGCCAAGCAACGCCAAGCAATGCCAAACAAAGCCAGACAAAGCCAGCCAATGCCAGACTCTACGCCTATGCAATAGGAAACTTTCCCCGAATTGTGGTCGCGCCGGGTTCATTTCGCGAGGTCTCGGGCCCGTGGACCATCACAAATCGATCTGGATCGAAGAATGCCCCAGATAGATCAGATCTAGGCATCCTGTTGTAATCTGTTCGCACCGTCGGATCTCACGGGGGGACGCGGGCTTCGACGGTGCTGGTGGGGCCCGGTGGGGAAGAGCCTGCACCGGAGAAAGAGGCCAGGAGAGGGAGTGATCGGAGGATCGGGCAGGAACAAAAGGGCGGGAGGATCAACGAGCCATGACACTAAACAGGCCCGGGGCCTGGCAGGGGGGCGGCGGGCAGGGCAACGTGGCCATCCTCTCCCACCAATCAGAACTGCCTCCGAGAGGCTCAACCAAGCCCCCAAACAGCTCCCGACGCCCGCAAGGATCCCCAGATAGTGCCCCAAAAGCCCACGACGCCTAAACCGTGGACTCTTCTAGGGGTCGGCGGAATGGCGTCAGCCTCTTGAACCAATGGGCCTGGGGGCCAGGCAGGGGGCGGGCAGGGCAAAATGGTCATCTTCTCCCAACAACCCTCCGACAGCAAACCCGGCTCGCCCCAGATGCTTGACGTAGAAGTTCAAGTACCTGGCGCCTTCCCGTGTGCGCCCATGTACGACCTTCAGGGAGATCTTGCCAAAACCAATCCAGTCTGAGGTCGTGCTGACACTACTCTGCGATTTGAAATGGTACCCTCCTTGCGGAAACCAAAACGTACCGATACCGCTACTCCCTGGACCTCTCCTTGGGTGCGCTCTGACCAGAACTTCGCGGCGAATGCAACGGCGGCGACGAGGGCATCCCAGGAGGCCCAAACAGGCGAAAACGAGACAAGGGTAGCATAATCGATACCTTTTCATCCCCTGACTCCTGTCCGTTTCGCCTCTGCCCAAGCCCCCGTGATGTTCAGCCGCTGAAAGTAAATGTCCGCGCATCGTCCGCCCAGTCGGCGCGCATCCGCCTCCACAGAAAGCAACGTATTCTCGGCGGGCTCTCCGCGAGGGATGTTGATCAGAACGTGGCGGCCGGGCTTCATCACGTCGAACCGCTCGCCATAAATATTCTGCAGGTGGGGATCGCCGGTGGCGGCGATGGCACCCGCCGCGCCAGTCCAGCCCGCCACGCCAGTGCTGGGAGGGGCGGGAATCGTCGGGGCGGGCGTCGGGACTGGCGTCGGGTGGGGCGTCGGGGCAGGCGTCGGGTGGGGCGTGGGGCTGGGCGTGGGGCTGGCAGTCGGGCTGGGCGTGGGGCTGGGCGTGGGGTGGGCCGTCGGGCTGGGCGTAGGGCTGGGCGTCGGGGCAGGAGTGGGGTTGGGCGTGGGCTGGGCTGGGGCTGGCGTGGGGCTGGGCGTGGGGGCTGGGGCTGTGGGCGTGGGGCTGGTTGTCGGGCTGGGCGTGGGGTTGGGCGTGGGGCTGGGCGTGGGGCTGGGCGTCGGGACGGGTGTCGGGGCGGGCGTCGGGTAAGGGGTCGGGCTGGGCGTGGGGCTGGGCGTGGGGTGGGCAGTCGGGCTGGCCGTTGGACTAGCAGTCGGGCTAGGCGTAGGGTGGGCCGTCGGGCTAGGCGTCGGGCTGGGCGTCGGGCTGCTCGTGGCGTGGGCTGGGCGTAGGGCTGGGCGTGGGGCAGGAGTGGGGTTGGGCGTGGGGCTGGCGTGGGTGCTGTGGGTGGGGCTGGGCGTGGGCTGGGAGTCGGGGTGGGCGTCGGGACGGGTGTCGGGGCGGGCGTCGGGTAAGGCGTCGGGCTCATCGTGGGGCTGGGCGTGGGGTGGGCAGTCGGGCTGGGCGTGGGGCTGGGCGTGGGGCTGAGCGTGGGGCTGGGCGTAGGGGGCGTGGGCGTGGGGCTGGCAGTCGGGGCTGGGGTGGGGACGGGTCGGGGCTGGGCTGGGCGTAGGGCTGGGCGTCGGGTAAGGCGTCGGAGCAGGCGTTGGGCTGGGCGTGGGGCTGGGTGTCGGGCTGGGCGTGGGGTTGAGCGTGGGGCTGGGCGTGGGGCTGGGCGTCGGGACGGGTGTCGGTGCGGGCGTCGGGTAAGGCGTCGGAGCAGGCGTTGGGCTGGGCGTGGGGCTGGGCGTGGGGCTGGGCGTAGGGCTGGTCGTGGGGCCGGGAGTGGGGCTGGGCGTGGGGCTGGGAGTGGGGCTGGCCGTGGGGGGAGGAGCCGTCACGGCGGCGCAGATCAGTCTGGCGCCCGTCTGCGTGCTCGCAGAGTACCAATACCAAGAGCCTCCCCATGCACCCCATCCGAAGTCCCACTGTGCACACGTGCCGCCATAGTCGTTGGCCACGGCGGGCCCCGCTGAGAGCCCAAGGGCAGCCCCAGCTGCGTCGCACTCCGTGTCGGAGGTGACTGCAGCGTACCCGATGGGGCACGATCCGACGGCAGTGAGGTAGGCTGCCAGAGTGCATATCTCTTGGGCGTTGTCCTGGTTGCTCGCAGAATGGTAATACCAAGTGTGCTGACCCCAGCCAGCACCCCATTTTGCACAAGCCCCACCGTAGTTCCACGTTCCCCAATATCCCAGTGTGAATCCGAGACTAGACGCAGCCGTGTCACACTCTGCCGTATCAGAAATAGTAGAATATCCTCCAGAACACGTGTCTGGTGCCACCGCATAGTGCGGCCATTTGCATATCAATTTGGCGCCGACCTTGGGGAACGAAATGATACCGATGTCGCTGACCCCCAGACTGCTCACAAGGCGCGACCAGAATTCTGAAGCGAATCCGGCCTTGGCGACGAGGGCGGTCCCCCAGGAGGCCACCCTGAGGAATCCACGAACCCAGTGGGGAATCTAAGTCGGTCGGAGGTTCTGATGGCATGCCTGCGAAACGCTGGTGTCCTATACTATTGCATAAGACGAATTGTCGTGCTGTGCGGTGTGTTATGGTACGACGTGTAGGCTCGTCTATGCGATTTGTCCGACGTCACTGAAGGGGCCCTGGGACGCACAAATAAACACACACACACACATATAACAGGATTCCCCCGAAATTTCCATATTTTCTGGGTTCTTGTCTTCCCCCCACTTCCCATATTTTCCTATATTTTCTGGGGAATCGACGATTACTTGTGTCTGAGTGTTTTTCTCCCTCCTGAGTCACGAGGCTCGCCGTCGCCATAATCACCATAGTCGAGACGCGCTCCAACACGTGCCAATGTTCGCCGGCGTGGGCCCTAGCCTGCCCTCTGGATGTGCAATAGACGCGGTGCAAGCAGTGCACGGCGCAGTACATTACATGCTGTATATACGCGGTGCAGTGTATACGGTGCGATCTGCGTGAAACAGCACATGAGGTGTAGCCTCTGGAATCGATGTGGTGCAAGCTGATTGAAATACCATCCCTGTGGTGCAAACCACGTGTTGCGGTGCAATACTTGTGCATCAGATGTGCACATACAGATATACAGGTGCATATGCATATGTGTATATGTATGTATGTATGTATATGTATGTGTGTACGCGCACGTGGGCGTACATACGCAAACAGACATGTACATATACGCAGACATCTGTATAACTGTATTCATATAGATATATATATATATATATATGTGCACATTTGGGCGTATATGCACGTATGCGTGTGTACGGCTGCCGAGATGTGTGGTTGCACGCTGTGTGCTGCAACTTCTGTGACGCAACCTGTGTGGTGAAGCGCATGTGGTGCAATCTGGGAGTCGCAACCCGTGTGTTGCATTGCATCCTCGGGGGACCTCGTCTGTCCCGTCGCGATTCTATCCGCGTCGAATCCGTGTCGAGTCCATGTCGGCCTCGTCGGATCCGTGTCGAATCCGCGTCGCATCCGCGTCGAATGCCCGCCAAGTCCGCATCGAGGCCGCCTCGAGCCCGCGAACGGGCACAAAAAAAGAGAGACACCGATTTTGGGGGACGGGCGGGGTCCCCCGGAGATGCAACACAACGTGTGGAGCAAGAAGCCGAGAGGTGTGGTCGTACGCTGTGTGCTGCAACCTGTGTGGCGCAACCTCTGTGGTGAAGCGCCTGTGGTGCAGTCTGGGAGTCGCAGCCCGCGTGGAGCAAGAAGCAGCCCAGTCCCTGGGTGAGGAGGAGGAGGAGGAGGAGGAGGAGGAGGAGGAGGAGGAGGAGGAGGAGGAGGAGGGAGGAGGAGGCGGAGGGGAGAGGAGGAGGAGGAAGGAGGAGGAGGAGGAGGAGGAGGGAGGAGGAGGAGGAGGAGGAGGAGGAGGAGGAGGAGGAGGAGGAGGAGGAGAAGACACAGCCCAACCACTGGGCGGCCGCGGGGCGGCCACACGGCCCGAGGGCGGGCACCGCCCGCGCGCGCGCGCACAGAGGGGGCGGCCGAGGAGCGGCCGCGCGCGCCCGCCGGCCTTGAGCGGGAGCCGGCGGGCGCTCGCGGCCCACGGCGGGGCGCGGCGAGAGCGAACTCGACACACGGACAGGCCTGGACTCCGGAACGCGATCCCGCGGAGAAACGGTCGCACGGATCCGCTCCGCACGGGGCATCCGCGAGAAAGCGCCCCGTCTCCACGGGGCCGCGGCCCACAGGCGCCCCAGCCCGCGAGGCCGCGGATCCGGAGATGTGTTTCCCGCACACGGGGCCCGTGGGAGGCCTGGAAATGGGCACCAACACTACTAGGTGCGTGAAAACGACCACAGCCACTGCTTTTCTTTTGTTGCCGCCTTCCAGCCCGCAGAGACAAAGCAGTGGTGGTGGTCATTGCCGTTGAGCTCGGCACCAGGGAAGTGACCACAACCACTGCTTCTTTTTCGGCCGGCTGGAAGGCGGCGCAAACAAGAAGCAGTGGCTGTGGTCATTTTCCCGTCCCGCAAACACTAAGACAGGGGGTTGCCTCCACAGGGGGGGAGATGCTCCTCGATTTCGGCGTCAGTGGTGATGTTTCGGCCACCTGAAAGCCAGAACATGGCCACCAGCACCGAGATCGGGATCTTTCTTCCCTCGGTGGAGGAACACCGCCGATATTGGTGTCGGTGTCAATCTCTAGGCCTGCGAACCAGGGACGCAGGAGCCCAGGGGGGCGCCGCGGGACGGCCCGATCGGCCACGTGCGCCCACCAGCCAAGCATCCACGGAGAAAAAAGCTGCACAGTTGACCAGGGGCCGACCGTCCCGGCATTCCTGCAGGTCTGCCACAAATTCTTCTTAGAACCAGGCGAATGCTCCAATAACAAGGGCAGTGCTCTCAGAACAGAACGCCGATGTGTTCAAACAAGGCTGCATCACCCAGAAAAGTTTTGATCTACAGGTTTTGGAAACATGTTTGGACGCAAGTCCACTGCTTGAAACAGAGCCTTTTCGGAGCTTCGCGCGAATTTCTTGGATCGGCGCTGATGAAGGGGCCCAAAGACACACAAATCAATACACACAAATAACAGGATTCCCCATAGTTTCCAATACTTTGTGGATTTTCGTTTTCCCCCCCACTTCCCATATTCTCCCATGTTTCCCAGGGAATCGACAATTAATTGTGTCTGTGTTTTTCCCCTCCTGAGCTGAGCCCCCTCTGGCCGCGGCGGCTCCTTCAGGGTGCGCCAGGGGCGGCGACGGAGGCGCCACCAGGGGAGCCCAGCGCCAATCCAAACAATCCGCGCGGACTCCCGAAAGTTCTACGATTCTGCAAGTTGTCCCAAACCTCCTGCACGCTTTGAATAAAGGCCTGTCGTCTGCACCTATCATATCCCGTTTCCCCTTTCCTCCCCGACTCCCTCCTCGTGCTGTCTGCCTCCTCCTCCTCCTCCTCCTCCTCCTCCTCCTCCTCCTCCTCCTCCTCCTCCTCCTCCTCCTCCTCCTCCTCCTCCTCCTCCTCCTCCTCCTCCTCCTCCTCCTGCGCTGCTTCTGGGAGGCGCGGTTCCTTCGGGTGCTGCGAACTGCGCAATTGTCGGCACTTTCGTGGCTTCCTAGGAGGCACTCGGATCACTCGGGGGACCGTCGGGAAAGGACAAACATAAAACGGAGACGACGTGCTCAGTCACGGCGCACGTACAGTCCTGACGGAGTCCTATCAAGAGAATGCAAGAATCCGTGCCAGGGTGGCTGCGGCATCACAGGACCCTGCAACTGTCTGTTGAACCAGGAGGAGGGGGAAGAAGATGAGGGAAGGAGCACAGCGAGACTACTTCCAGCGGCCTTCACAAACGGCGATCCTACGCAGAACGCCCCGATGCCCTTGTCCGACTGGTCACAGAGAGGCTCTCCCCGGCCTCCTCGGCCAGCCTCCCAGGGCGCGGTCCTCGACCTCCCCCGAGGCCAGTGTTCGGGGAGCCTTCGTGGAAGAAGCCGTTCGGCCAGAGACACTGTCCCTCGGGCGAGCAGGTCCCGAGGCGCACCGCTCCCACGGGCCGGCTCGGCTTCGGGGAGGGGGTCGGCCGCCGCGCGGCCCCGGGGGACCCCTCGAGCTTGGGTGCCGCTGGAAGCCAGACCGCCTCGAACCACAGCGAGCTCCTCCTCCCTCGGTCGAGGCGCACCGCAGATGTTGGTGTCGGTTCCCGAACGAAGTGAACCCCACCCTCCCCCTCAAAAATCGTGGTGGGTAGGGGTAGGGTTCGCATGTGGCCCCCTATCGGTGCCAACCTCTAAGCCTGCGAGTGATGCTTTCGTGGCGTAACCCCGACCCCTTCCCAGGGACCGGCCTTCGACCCGAGTCGTCCCTCCACGGCCCCCTCGAGGCCCAGGTGCGGGAGGAGGAGGAGGAGGAGGAGGAGGAGGAGGAGGAGGAGGAGGAGGAGGAAGGAGGAGGAGGAGGAGGAGGGGAGGAGGAGGAGGAGGAGGAGAGGGAGGAGGAGGAGGAGGAGGAGGGGAGGGAGTGTGGAGGGGAGGGAGGAGGAGGAAGGAGGAGGAGGAGGAGGAGGAGGAGGAGGAGGAGCCTCGAGGCCCAGGTGCGGGGCCCCCCGCGGGCCGAGAGGAGCGGCAGGCCCCCCGCGGTGCCCCTCTTTTCCACGGCGCGGGGGGGCCCGGGGCCCCCGGGGGGAAGGAGCCGCGACGCACACTTCTGTCAAGCCGCACCCTCGCGCGCGCGGGGAAGCGAGCCTGCCGCGCTCGCGGTGCCGTTCCTGCACACCGCACGGGAGCTCCACGGCTCCCCGGCGGCCACCGAGGCGGACGGCTTACCGCCGCCTCCAGAGCATCGTGGGGGCCCTCGCCGAGGGAGGGGCGGGGGCGAGGCAGAGGCCTCGGCAGCGGCCGTGCCGGCCCCCGCCGTGGCGGCGCGGGCACCGGCCGGGGACGCCGCGCAGAGCGCTCGAGTGAGGCGTTCGCTGGCGGGGGGGCAGTGAGCTCGAGCAGGGGCCGACCGTCCCAGCGATCCTGTTGGCTTACCGTTGTGGACGCCACGCCACGACCATGGGCGCCCTAACAGGCCTATCATCGGATTAAAAATGTGCTTGGAAATGTGGGAAGAAAGTGCCCTGGAAATGTTTAAAACATGTTTCTTACATGTTTAAAACAGTTGTAGCACATGTTCTAGACATCTGGAAATTGTTTGACAACATGTGTCCTCTCCATGGGTCGTCCTCCACAAGCTTACCGCGGAATTATCTTAGAACCGAAGACTGTTCTAGGAACGAGATCAATGTTCTTACAACACAGATCACACTGAAAAAAAGACTGCCTCAGTCAGGCATGCTCTAAGAACATGTTGCTCTAAATACCAACGATTCGTATACCATCGTCTGGTGGGCCTAAAGGCAGACCTGGACGTGTTACCACTGATTGATAAACGCGGGGAGAAGAAGCGTGCATTTTTCGTGCACGTGTTGGGCGCGCGGTGGCAGTTTCGAGGCCCTTCGAGGCCCATTCAATGCCCCTGTCCTGTAAGCCTCGATCCACCCACGCTTCTTGCTGCCCCGTTGCCGTCCGCCCGATCGATCTTGGGCGATCTTCGCTGCCCAGCGGCGTCGCCCAAGGTCAGCCTGGTTCAGGCCGCCGCCTGCCTTCGACCACTGAACGCCCGCGCTGGCGCTGTCGCTGCGTGCGTCGACGCGGCGCGAACCCGCGGAGTGCCCTCCATGCCTCCCTCCTCCCTCCTCCCTCCCCCTCCTCCTCCTCCTCCTCCTTCATTCCTCCTCTCCTCTCCTCCTCTCCTCATTTTTTTCCCCCTTCCCCGCCTCCTCCTCCTCCTCTCCTCCTCTCCTCCTCCTGTCCTCCTACCCCCCTCCTCCCCCTCCTACCCTCCTCCCCTCTTCTCCTCCTCCCCTCCTGCTCCTCCTCCCCCTCCTCCTCCTCCTCCTCCTCCTCCTCCTCCCGCCCCTGGGACCTGGTTGCTCGCATAGTAGTAGTACCAGCTGGACGACTCCGAGGACAGTGCGCTCCATCCGCCGTCCCACTTGGCGCAGGTGCCGCCGTAGGCCTGGGGGTGAGCCGACATAGGGGGGGACGAAAGGGAGGAGGAGGAGGAGGAGGAGGAGGAGGAGGAGGAGGAGGAGGAAGCCACACGCGCCCGAGCCCGCCCCCTTTTGCCGCACAAGGCGGCCGAGGCGGTGGCCAGCAAGGCCGGCGTCCTAACCACGACATCCACCACACGCTCTCGCATCCCCGCCTGGCACATGCGCCTCCGCCACGTGCCGACGCGCGCGTCCTTCTGCGCATCGCCAGCGCACGAGC